AGCTCATTCTGCTCAGAGTCACTAATGACACCTTTCAGGCAGGTGGAAAAATAAAGGGTCTTTAGTGAGATCAAGATCCAGGTTTAATACACATTAGACTTATATTTGTTAGAGATGTACATAATGGTATTGCCAAGAAATAAGGGTCTTTACCATGTTGATGTGATTATAAACTGGGAAAATGAGCTGAAGATTTTGTATAGGAAGGGTTGATACAGTTCTTCACCCACTTCCACATAGAAATAGGGTGTAGGAACATGACACTGATGGATAGCACTGGATCTGTCCTTCTAGATTAGATGTCTGGCAGACTTGGGCTGAGATACTGGATGTTTAACAACCATCTGGAGCTACTGCAGTCATTGCAGAAATTTGGGACAAGTACATAAAAATCCTTAAAAATTGCTCTATTAGAATTTTGAGGAGGAGAGAAGGTGCCTGGGGAAATGTGTTTATGTACCTGTTGGTCCTGTCTTTCACAAGTGTTGAAGATACTGGATTGCTGTCTGCTCTTTGCCCTCATTTGTTGTGAGGGATTTTTTGAAAGTATTACTCATATAGTTTTCTCTGCTTGGAATGGATTTATTTTGAAATATTTATTGTAACATTATTTTTTAATGTTTTACCAACACTGGGCAATGAAAACAGGCTGTTTCAGTTTCACTTCTGTTTCAGCACAACTTCCAGTTACCTCATGCTTGTGACTCTCTGCAACCTGCAAGATATACATGGTAGTATATATAGGGATATATATATTCAAGCCATTCTATAATTCTACGAATATACCAAAACTTGCAGTGATGTTCAAATTGTCTACCCTGATTTCTGCTAAATATAGATCATGTTCTTTTAAGCTGTAATATTTTATGTGCTGAAATACAGGTATGTCTTTCAAAGAGACCAATTTCAAAGAAAGCATGAATGTGAAGTGATTGTCTCAAGAGAAGCTTCCCAAAAATAGTTTTCCCCTGTCTGAGTAGGTAAGAGGAGGCTTTTATGACAGATGGCGGAGCTGTTTGGACATACCATCTCTCATTTGCAACCAGACTCATCCCAAAGATTTCTGTTTGGGAGAGCTAGTGGCAGAGTTGATTCCCCTGTTCTATTTCTTGCCTCCTACGTTTGTGCAGAAAGGTACCAGTGTGGAGAAGGAAGTGAGAGGCCTCGTTGAGGGTAGAATGTGTGGGAAATGGGTATTTTTCTTTATGTGGAATCATTTTTGAAGGGGCAAAGGAATTAGCAAAATCTGATCTATAGGTTGGCAAAGCTCACAAATTGGTGTTGCTGTGCAGTTGGAGACAGTGGTAGATTTGTGGCTTTCTATGCTGGCTCTCTTTTTAGTTTCTGACTGCTTGCAAGTTCTGTTTACAAATGTTTGGAAAATGCATTTGGATAATCTACTTTATTAGAGGTATTAAAATGCTGTCCAATTCAGCCAATGAAATAGCTAAAAGCAGGCTCCCACTGTCATGGCAGTATAGCTGCTAAATGTATGCAGTGCCTCTACAGGATTTTTAAGCTGCCTGTTCTGTTCTTTCCTCATTGCTTGTTTCCTACCATTGTGCTGATTCAGTATGGAGTTTAGGAGTTTCTGGCTTTCTTTTTACATCAGAGGCTCATGTGGGAATACCTGAAAATTTGTATTGAAGGAAGGTAAGGGTTCAGCAAAAGCTCTGTGATCCTCCAGTGCTCTACATTGCTCCTGGAGCACAGCAGTGATGCTGGAGGCATAAATGGGTGAGGGGTCTGAGGGGCCCCAAGTCCCTGGATGCTAAGAAGCACTTAAAAGTCTTTTCAGCTTCAGTGCCTAGAATGGGAGCCAATTGTCTTTAGATGTGGGCAGTCTGTGGCAACCTGTAGTGACTGATATACTGTAAGCCAGTTATTACAGTTGCTTTCTCTGCCTTAAAGCCTAGACTCACAGACAGACATCTTGTTTAAGCTGAGCTTTGTGATTCCACTTATCAGGTAGAGGTATTAATGTGCTTAAGTCAGGGCTGAAGGTGCTTAAACATTGTTATTGGGTTCTGAAAGAAAAGACAAACGGGTTGTTTCTCTTTTGAGAAACACTATGTAAATAAATAATATAAAACCAGTGTTTAAATGGTCATTGCTACTTTTATTATGGCCTTTCACCACCCTGAGTAAGTATTGTAGGAAAGACAATCCTTAGGAAGTCTTTCCTCCAGTTGTGTTCACTGGCTACTGAGAAGGTTGAGGAAGACTTGTGATGCTGTCAGCTAATACTGCTTTTCTTGTGACTATTTTAGACAGCTCAGGCCAGACAGATTGTGTGTTAGTGCTGTGGATATTCACAGTGATAGAATACATAAAAATAAAGATAGTTCTCATGCTAAAGACCTTATGCTTTAGATGCACCATGTATGTCCCCTGAAGCCTTTTTAAGGTGTGGCTATCTGTATGCAGTTCATCACCTGTAGAATTTATATATTAACTTTTAAGGGAATCACGGAGTTAATTTGTTTTAAGTCTGGATTAGAGTGATGAAAAAAAAATTGGTAAAAACGGAGGACCTAATTCCACTACAGAGGCAGGCTAGAAATAAAAGTAGAGTTTGAACTACATGATATGAAAGCAGTAATGACAGGAACATTGGAAGCTTGTGAGTACCTGTGAATGCCCCATTTTTAAAATTATTTTTATTTTTTCTCCATGCAGCTTCTGCAGTTTTTGAAACTGTGCCTCTAAGGAGGCATAAAATGGAAATTTGATAAGTAATACATTATAGTAAAGTGAAGTGTTCAAATTTGCAGCTGGATGACTGCAAGCTAGTGTCAGCTTGTCAAGTATAGCTTTAGCCTGGCAAGTCTGACCAAGAAATATAGCCTCTTTCTTCACCTAGGAGATGAAGTGTGGGAATCTGTGATTTACCAATGAGAGAGAGATGTAAATCCATACTAACAGTTTCAATATGCTTCAACTTGGAGAAAATGGGAATCTGGAAATGAACTTTTCTTTGTGTGTTGGCCAACTGTAATGATCAAGTCCAAATATTTGTGATATCTGCAATGCTCATGGCCACAGCTAGGTCTTGGATTAATAAGAAAATGGTTATTTTTTCCAAGATCTTAATTTCTGTTTATCCAGATAAGTGCCACAAAACTGCAGCTTGCCGTTGGTGAAAAGAACAGTCAAACCATAGTGGCTGTCTTCTGCCAAGCTGTTCTAATGAATACAGAAATACAGAAAGTTAGATATAGTGTTTGTCAGCCTAAGATTGACATTTGATGAGTCTGTTTTGGCTTTTTTTTTTTTGTTCAAGTATTTTAATTTTTAAAAAAAATCAGTATTTTTTCTCTTAGTAAGTTATGTGTCAAAAAAGAATAGTGAAATGAATCCTTCTAGGCTTTATTCCAAGCCCTCTTAATACTGGAGCTAGAGTGCAGTGTGTTTTATTCATGGAGCGCAAGTTCAATTAATCTGGTTTTCCAGAGTCTGCAAAACACAGCAGGGAAAGGCAGAGCTGCTCAGTGCTGGACAGCTTCACACAGCTGCAGTGTTGCTGTTTGCCTGGGAGAGCTGCAGTGTGTGATCAAGTCCCATCTCCAGGTGATGGCCTCTGCAGTTGCTGCCTGATTCTT